CCCCCCCCCCCCCCCGCCCAAAAGCACTGCACCGCTTAATGCGGCGCTGAGACGTCATTAGCTTTGAGGTACGACCCTTTCCGCGCTTGTCAGCATGTCCTACACGAGGCAAGCGTGCGACAGGACACACCACAAAGTTTCCTCGCACCGTCGTGATTACACGCCACACCGACGGGTCCAATATGAATTCTGTGGACTGACAAAGGATAGGCCACAGGATAAACCATGCATGGGGTTTAAATACACTTACAAATTTGTTTCATCAACACTAATTTGTTCCCAGGATAACGAACACTTATCATCGATATCTGCTGAACTGTTTATGTGACAAATATTAACTTAAATATTATATTGACATAGCTAATATTCATAACCAGCCACACACAGTACTGTAGATAAGACAAAATATTTAAGGCTATTTATCTCTCTCACACACACACACTAACACAGAATTACTTCTGGTCTTCAAAAAGTTTCATATTGTGTTGGAGAAATACGCTACTTTGTTTCCCAAACCTTTCCTCAGGAGCACCTCAGCCATTTCTTGTATTTATTACATTTCTAGCTCACTTAACTAATTCTTTAAATTATTCAAAAAGGTAAAGTGAAGTACAGATTAGCCATATGAGATGTACTGGTGAAGTCAAAAAGTACATGGGTGTATTGGATAGTTTCTGCAAATACTGGGCTGACTTTAGGAGGGGTTTGAAATGGCTAAATCTAGGGATGGGGGGCGGAATCGATTCAGTTACAAATTATAATTATTTTATGTGGCAATTTTTAGATCACCTCGAGAGTTAAAAATCCATTCTAAAATACCAATTTAAAAATAGGTTACTGTAATTATGCTAGTCACATTTGGTACTAATATATCTGAGCAGTATAACATTGCCTGATTCTGTTAGGGGGCTGACATGCCTGAGAATAAGCAGCGACTTTTCCAGCACCTTTGAGACATAATGTCATAATTTAATACCAACACAATGATCATTTAAACACCATTTTCTTTAACTGCCGGAGACTTTTACACAGTAGTGTATATTTGGCAACGGTAATACAGCCTTAAGGGATACTTTAGATATCGGCTAAACCAGTGACACTCAACCTTTTTGGCCCAAGTACCACAACGGATCAAACCAAAACAGTAAAAGTAATAAAAAAAACCTCCAGAATGACAGTCACATGCTTCCACTGTGTTCTCACGTAGCACTGGCGGCACATGCATTACAGTTGCAGAATCACTGCGTTAACCAACAGTGATTATGCCATCTTGTTTATCTGATGTTCTCTGCCGGCCCCTTGACAATGGGCTCCCCCTTTGAGTCTGGTTAGGGTTAGGGCTTCCTCTGCTGCCCCCTAGAGGATGGGCTCTCCCTTTGAGTCTCGTTCCCCCCAAGGTTTCTTCCTTTTATGGAGTTTTTCCTGCCACTGTCACCTCTGGCTCGCTCACTGAGGGCTTTGGGTGGGGATAATGTAAAGCGTTTTGACACAATGTAATGTTGTTAAAATACGCTATGAAAAATGAGTTAATTGGGGAGACTAAGTAATGCAAAGTACTGACCTCAGGCAAAATAACCATGTACTTTCGGGATGGGAGTTTTACTTCATTAATGGTAACCAAAAACCCTTCTCCTTCCTAAACAAAACAGGTCACACAAGCCCTCACTCCAAAGCACAGCCGAAGGGTTCCTGTAGTTCAATTTACTTAAAGAACGTTCACTTGAACCTGAGGCAGATAGGCCAATTACAGAAAATAGGTTTCTTCTGGTGAAAGTTAACTGCCTTACTACAGAGTGGCATTGTGTCCGGGGGGGGGCACCCCTTCCTTACGCCCCCCTGTGCTGCCCACAAGAAACTGCAGGACCCACCCGTCACCCTGACCCAGATTAAGAATCGGGAGATAGTACCTGCGGATATGTGGTTTGATCTTCCGTTACATGTCAGAGGCTTAGAGATTTTAAAGGAGGTAAATCAGCTATCGAGTTCTAGGGTGAAGAAGAAGCTTCCATGGTTTGGAATCAATGTGATTCAGATATCTGCCGGGGCTCTTTTCATGGTTCCTGGCATGAGAGCACCACAGGGACAGCGCTCCAGAGGGGATGAAAGGAGCATTGAAGGGTTCCGACATTGAGAGCGACTGTGTGAGCGTCTCGGCGCTGAATGGGAGCGACAGGGACCCCGCAGGGCAGCTCTCCAGCCTCTGCTCCCCTTACAGACAGCAGACAGCGCCAATCTGTGCGGGACCCTTTATGCTGAGGCCATATGGGCCGGTCTGCAGCACAGCGGCCGCACAGAGCCACAAACCTACCTGAGAGTGGAAGTTGGCGATGGTGGTGGTCTCGATATCTTTCTTGCCCAAGATCTCCATCTTGACGGGCGTGCTGGGGAAGTTGAAGGCAAAGTAGTCGAGGAAGTCGGGCAGGTAGGCGGCGGCACCGTGAACCACTGACAGGGCGTAGCGGGCGGCGCTGTGGGGACTTTCTGCAAAGGCCAGCTGCAGGAACTCCTGGGCGAAGCATTCCTTCTCGCCGGGTGTCAGGAAGGAGATCTCGTCGGCGTAGGCGTGCAGGACGGCGGCCCCGCCATTGGCCTGGCACTCCTCATGGAGAAGCCTCCCGTAGCGGGAGCCCGTATGCAAGCAACAGCTGCGGATGAAGTGGTCCTGGTGGGACAGGAAAGGCGCCCGCACCCCGTGGGGCGTGCGGTACTCCTCGGTGCCCGGGCCAGGCTGGCAGAGCTGCTCGTCCTTCAGATAGGTGAGCGTGGGGTCACCTGGGGGCGGAGTCACGGGGCCATCCCCTGTCAGCCCAGCGCACACTGTTTGTACCTCCTTATGGTACATCTTAAGCCGCTTGCCCCGCTCATCCTCGCGGTGCCTCCGCTTCTTTTTCTTCTTCTTCAGCAGGTACTCATCCACCAGCGGACTTTTACCATTCTCATCCCCGGGTTCTGCCAGGAAAAACAAAAGGATGTGTGACGTCCAGAGGATAATTTTATAAAAGGCATCCAGACGAAAAAATTACTAAAAGCTGACACACAAAGCTCCCACCTTCACCGGCAATTACAACCAGCAAGCAAATATCAAATCCACGCAAAGTGATTCATAGAATAACCCATTTTCCCCGGCAAGGTTATTAATACCTAACAAATCCTATAGCCTCTGCACACAGGCACGATGTAAAACAAGGCGGTCTATACATTAAAGGAAATATAAAGCCATTTTAAAACAGTCTTCCTATGAAAGAAAATGCGATTCTATCTACGCGTGATAAAATAAAGTTGAACGAACAGCGATCAAAAGTTTGACACTCACAATAGGTAAATCTCAACTATATTTAAATACCACGAGCACTTCTTTAAGCATAAAGTGGTACAAAACAGTGGAGACCGATTTAGTTGAACAGCCTGCAACCCTCCAAAGGGTCCTCTTCACCAAGACAAAACTGCCCAAAACATGCGAGTCTTGACAAATAACTTGCATAACCAGCCGGTAAACAAGCGTCAGATAAAGCAGCAGCTCCAGCGAACGGGGAGCCGCACGTGTGACGCTTATTTTCAGGGGGGCGTCGCTGTAGCATGACAGGAGAACCTGCGGCTCCGGCGGCTGACGGGTGCGGACCCACGCCAGCGGCTTGGAGCGCTCGATCGCCGCCTGGCTTGCCTTAATTACCTTTCTTTTTCTTGCTCAGCACCGCTTTGACGTTCGCCTCCGAGTTCTCCTTCTTGGGCTTTAGCTTGTGGTCTTTCTCCGCCGGCTTGTCCTTGCTGTTATGGGTTTTGGCCTTGGCCACTTTGAGCGGAGCGAAGGTGAAGAGCCCCTGCTGTACCGTTGGTAGGATCGGAGGCAGAGGCTTCTGCCCGAGATGCGGCGGGGCCACCTTCCGATGGGGGCCGACGAGCAGGGCGTCCTTCTTGGCGTGGTGGTGGTTGTGGTGATGGTGGTGGTGATGGTGATGGTGGTTATGGGGATGCTGCACGGGTGCATGTTCCGAAGTGAAGGTGCGCGGTTGTGAATTCTGCTGCTGCTGCTGTTGTTGTTGTTGATGCGGCTGGGGTGTCCGTTGTTGAACGTGTTCTTGGTGGTGATGGTGATGAAGCTTAACTTTTTTAGCCTCTTTCTCGCATTTCTCTCGCTTGTCAGGAGGAGGTGAGCATTCCCTTTTCTTCTTCTTTTTCTTCTCTTTGGTCGATTTATCCAAACTGTCCCTCACCTTTTCTTCTACTTTTATTCGAACCAAACCAATCTGCGCAGCCATTTTGCACGTAGATTTAAATGGCTTTAGATACCTTAGCGCTTAGTTCTACTGGAAGTTGTAGTTCCGAAAACGCATCCAATCAGAGAGAGCTTATCTGTAGTTTCACTTCGGATTTCTCTTAAAGCGCAAGCGCTTCTCTTATTTCTTGTGGGAGTTGTAGTTTTTATTGTTCTTGGTGTACCTGGGAGATGCAGTTCTGAAAAAGGGATGCGTGCGCGACTGCACGCAGCTTTTTCTGGGCTGACGTAATGGTTTATGGGTTGGGCATGGCTATCCCAACGACTGCTCGGTGAACATGTGAATAAGTACGATTACGTTTTTTTCTCTTAAAATATGTTAAGGAGCGGTTTTCTTTCTATTTTAATACATTTATATATCTTCAATTTAAACAAATACTGTAGCATCCGAGTGGTTTTCTTAAATGAAATATTTACCACTCAAACATAAAGCGACTGGTATATTTATTAAAGGTATACTGTTTTCCACGTAGCCCACGCCTTACACAAAATAACACGCAGTCAACGAGCAAACCAAACTTCGTACTCAGAACTGAACGCTCCCGCTTCATAACATGGAAACTGTATGACGCCCTAGTTTAGCACCCATAATTCGCAGTAACTGAAGGATCGGGAAAATTGACAGGGTTGAACCCCACTAACATGCCGATAATGTCATGACTAAGTAATTTACATGTGATCGCTGTAATTTAGATTAAATAAATACTTTTCTATTGTCCATTTACAATTCTTTTAGGCTGCGATTATTTTTTCTCCAGTCAAATTTTTTATTCAGTTATGTTCTGGCGGTGTTGTGCGGTTTAATTCCTTCTGTAGTTGAATTGAGTGACGTGTAGCTATAGTGCCCCGAGACCAAGGGCATAACGTACCATAACGTACCATGAATTACATAAGGCAAGTATATGCAGCTAGCCATAGTTGCGACACTGATTGATCCGCCACGTGACCTTGCGGTTCATGCAGCCTTCATTAATGCCAAACAAACCCCGCGCGGTCGCGCTGTTAATTGGTAGTTAGTAGCAAATACGCTAATAAACGGTAAATATTAAAACATTAAACTATTTGTGTGCATCTGTAAACTGCCTTTACATGTACTGCATATAGGTAAATGTCAATTTGGTTTGCGGAGTTACAACTTAATCAGTTTATCGCTTTTTATTCGAAGGGAGATCCTTCACGTTAGCATACACTACATAACGCAAGATCCTGGAGTCGTCGGATATGTTTTTTTTAGTGTAAATCGACCTTCCTTCACTTTCCTGAGAATTTCTAATATTAATCTTGTGCGCGTGGGACTTTCAGGAAACACTATTACATATCCTGGGTATATGCATTTTTTATGATCAAGCCACAAATAACTTTCATTGAATACATCTTCCCTGCACACTAAGAAGAGTTTCTAAACAAATTTAACTTTCTACATCTCAAGTACCGGTCCTCCGGCAAGCCAGAAGTTGCTATTTTCGCATAGGCTACTACAGGCTATAACTTCATTCTGTAATTTTTAAGGAGTAAAATAGAAATATTAACATTACAGAAATGTTAAACTAACAATTTTCAGCAATTGTTTTATTTTCCGATCGAAATAAGGTACAAATAATAATATTGTATAATGTTTCACAAAGGCTGCCAGGTGAAATATTTATTCCTATTTATTTACTTGTATGGAAAGCACCCATCTCAAAAAATTTACGGTGATCAAAATCCATTATCATTCTTTATCCACAAAATAAGCTAAATTGGGAAAACATTACAAAAACCACCACTATGTATAACATCCTATTCACACCTCGTACTTTTAGGGACTAAAAGAGTGGGGGCGAAGGTAATAAGGGTAAAAAAAAATATATGTAGGTCAGTATGGACAAAATGAAGTTTTTAGTTTATTTTAGTGATATTCTAGTAATTCAAAGTGAGGGAGATGAAATAACAAGAAAAATCACGTTTTTGTTCGAACGATGTTTACAAATGCAACATAGAAATACGGACACTTTACCGCAACCCGGTATTTTTTGGCAAATAAATGACCACAAAATAATTTTAGCTATTTTGTAGTATTCACATTGAACTGATTGACCCGAGGATATCTGCAAACTGATATCTTAATCGGGTGTATTCACATGTTAGAAGTGCAGTTAACCGTAATCATCAACCTGTTGATAACCAGAACAGCTCAATATACGTAACGTTACCCTACCTACATAATGACAAACTCCGTGAAATGCGAACGTTAGCCTCGATAGTTGGCTATAAGCTACAGTACCTTCGGTGAAAACTATTAATATAAACGTTAGCAGGTAATGCTGAGCACATATAAAAACAAAATTACAGTATTTACTATATTAATGATAGCTAATATATTGCATTTTGAAAAAGTCTGCTACTCTATCAGCATTTCCGCTTAAAGTGCTTGGTAAGCAATGAAAATGAGCGTGACTCGATCTATGCCTTGAATGTCAACATTTGGAACTATTCTCTGTCCCCATGACCCGGAAGTTGGCCTGAAATTCCTCCGCTTTTTTTAATATATATTTTTTTATAATGGGCCCCAATGGGAGGGTCGCCACTTCTTTCTGCCCCTACCCCACCCCACCAAAGACAGCATTTCCAGAAATTGCATTTATGGATATTTGATAATATGATAATTTATCACCATGTCTGATATTTGCGTTTTTGGCGACAGAGAAGAAAAAGAAAAGGGAATGCTCACCTACTACTGACAAAAGATATAGTGTTTACTTTCTCTTATGTATTCTTTTCTTTATCAAATACTTGTGTCTTGTGTGTTTTTATTTGCTTAATTGTTTGTATGGATGTTTGTTTGCTGGCTATGTGGATGCTGACTCATCTCCTGTAAACTAAATTTACCTACGGGTACAAATAAAGTAACCTGGCTGAACTTGAGTTTTCAGGATAGACAAAGTTGTCCTCCATCCCTGGCTGTAATAGCTAGCTAGTATATTCCCACTATGAGACTTCATGCTTCCCAGCTCGCTTTTCACCCTGGAGTCCAGTGGAACTGATTGTTTCGATCAGACCAACATTACACATCCTGTGAAGCATGTGCCTACAGTACATGTAGCCATTTGATTTTAGAAACAACGGAACACTTTTAACATGGTTTTTTTGCGTGGGTCACAGTCACAATAAATGCACATGGTAATTATTTTATTGATTAGTATAGAAAGTAAAACTGTTAAAGATATATAATTACAAACGGGAGTAGATCGACAGACGTGCATCACCTTCAAGTTCTACAGTTACTCTCACCAGGGACGGATTACGGACCGGGCCAGGGGGGCCGCTGCCCAGGGGCCCTTGGGGTGCCCGTGGGGCCCCTAGCCCAAAACAATTTGCAACGCTTATCAACCATGTATTTTCGTTTGTCTATTTTAGAGGGCCTACATTCTTTGATCCTCTGCCTACAAGGGCCCCTAACCCTATAGGGCCTCTGATGGAAACATGGAGGGAGGGCATTTGGCTGCCAAGGGCCCTTGAATTGTGGTGGTTCTGGTGCTGGTGGTGGTGGGGGCCACACAACCCATAATCCGTCCCTGACTCTCACTACTTTCCTCTTTGGTTTGCTGCTATCACTGCTCACTTTTTTAGGGGACATGATTACTATATCACTAAATGTACTGTAGATAAAGCACACAAAAAAATCACACGGAACACGTACAGCATTCGCACGTCGATCTCAGTCGAGAGGTACCGCGACACTGATGGCGATTCATAGGCATCTGCAACCCGGTAGGTCTTTGCCTTTGTTTTAGCTCATCAGAGACGCGTCTCGATCTGTACAAGTTTTAGCAGCTCCGTTTTATGTCATGTTCCGAGTTTTCGGTCGAGTTGCGGTTAGATTTTTCGAGTTCAGAATTGGTAAAGTTGAACGCAGGAACGGTCGAGTTCCAAGATTTCGGTCGAAGTCGAAAAAAATTAAACATACCCGTTCGATGTCGGAGTTGGTCGAGCTCCAAGGTTCTACTGTATAATGTCAATTTTTGTTTCATGTGCCAATCTTGGAAATAGTTATTATAGTGTTAACAGCAGCACCTTCACGTTGACGTTTTTTTTTTTTTTTTACACGTTTTGATTGGTGTAGCTGAAGCTGGTATCAAACGCCTACTCAAAGCCATCTTACTGATAATATCCATTACAATGATCACTTACTCAAAAGAGTGTCTATCAACACATTAGGTGACATAGGCAGCTGTTTAGGACGCCATCTTCTGGAGGGGGCACCAACTGAGCAAATACCCAATAAGCTTCACTGCCCCAGACAAATTTCACTTCTGGCACAGCCCCCCCCCCCCACCCGAAGATCATGCACACAATCCCAGACAAAGTGAAACTGGGCAGTGAAGCTCAGGTAAATCAAGATATTACAGAAGAATAATGAACTAGCTTGTGTAAAATATTTTAAGTTGTTATAAGCATGCAAAGAAGCAACAGGCATTCACAAAAAAGATCTGATGGTTTTTCAGTAAAACTTTATTTTACAGTGCATGATCAGAAGGCCATGACCCACATAATTTCGATTGTTGCACTTTAAATATTTTTCCCCCGATTACTTAAAAAAATAATGGAGCGATTTACAGATTTTTATCTGAATGAGGACTCTGCAAGTATTTATAAAGGTGCTGTACAATTTATAAACATTTACAACTACCACATCATGTAGAGACCAAAAGGCTTTTCAGTTATAGCAATGCAAGGCCACATTTTTATATACAGACACTGATATGGGGATAAAGCTTCAGACATCAGTGCATAAGAGATAGCATATCTTGGAATTTACCAAAAGTGAACCCTCCCCCTAACCAATTACTATCTGCAGTGGCAAAACAATGCACAAAACTACATATTCATGGTACTGACAAGCAAATTCTGTGTTTACGCCATTTTACCTTTTACTGTTGTTTACTGGTGGACCCCCATGTGTATATATAAAAAACTAAGGTTTAGCCCTACATACAATTCAACAACATTCTCTAGAGCTTGTAGTAAGATAGTAACATTGCTATCACACAAGTACCTCTTAGGCAATGAGTGGAATGAAGACAGAGACCGATTTGCTAAACATCTGTTTGTCCCAGGACGTCTCAGGTGGTTCTGATGTTGGTCCACCAGCAGATTGGCAGGGTCGACGACCCCTGCACTATAATAGTGGTTTGCAGAACATTTCATTTGAAAGATCATGTGATCCGTGTGATGCCATCTGAGGAATCCAAAGTATTTTTAGAAATCTTCATCATCCTCATTATTTTTCCACCACTTTTTCCAGTGAGAGCTGCAGTAGGATGCACTGGTGAATTGATGCCTACATATATTTAAAGCTTTGCTATGCATGTTTGATTCAGAGCCATATTGCTATGCATCTCATTACATACTGCTGACTGTATGTATTCAAAAATTCATATTGCAGTGTCACATTTCTCTACATCTAGGAGTATAGAAAAGTTATGCTTCTCTAAATTCGAGACTAACAGGAGACTGCCGTGTGGCTGTGTACAGCTGCCCTTTCTGTATTCAGCAAACATCAACCGCAATAGTCCGTGTAAAAAAATAAAATAAAATAAAAAATTCCCAGTTTCCCACTCAAGCTAAAGTGATGATGCAATCGACGTCCAACACTTCTGCTGATGTTGGGAACTCCGTCAGTTTACTTGTTCGTAGAAAAGTTCAGTGACCAGTTTTCTGCGTAATTGGATTTTATAAATATTGACAAATAAGGTCCATAGTAGTGTAGGGAGACGTGACCGCTGTATTAACTGTTGCCAAGAAAATCGACATTGGCGTTCTGATACTTGTAAATTAAATACAAAGCCAAGAAAGTACATCCTTTTGCTTTCTTGCCTTAACTGAAATTGATTTCAAACCAATTGCTGGAAACAGTGCCTCAGGCACCATATAGCCAAGTGTTTATCATGCGAAGGAAAGCTGGGCATATTTCCCCCCGCAGGTACTTCAGGAAACACGTGGCTAAATGATACACACACAATAAAATACAGGCCAAGCTACAATCGTTTTTCTAAAACCACATACTCATCTGCTTGTAATACACAGTTAAGATATATGCCAACAATATGTAACATTAAAAGTAGGGAGCAAGTATTATGAATTTGGAATAAACTGTTGGACACTACATTAAATATGGAATGGCTCAGTATGGATACATAGGTTTCTATATTCTTTTCAATATTTATTTCAATAATTTATATGCTTTATTATAAACATACAAGTAGTAAACAATATACTTAAGCACAAGTGTCTGGTCTCTTTAAAAATAGATGCATATCAAGCTATGATTCAAAAATAATCCTAAATCCACTGCAAAGCTTATGATTACATAATCTGAACTCTACACACAATGTGTACATGTTCTGTCAGCATCCCAACAAGATCTTTAGATAGGAGCAAAAAAAAAACCCAAAAAACTGTGACTTCCTTTGAGTGAGGAACAAATGTTCTTGGAGACAAGTTTTCGTAAATACAGGCAACGTAACCAAGATGTGTGTAAATATATGCCGTATGAATGCATATCTGCAAGTCTGCAGACAGGAATAACAGAGGGATTGTTACCCTTCATACTGGCGAGTGCAAGAAAACACCATCCAGTGCTGCATATGAGAAATGGCACAGTGAGGTACCCCCCCCCTCCCTGATCAAAGGGATTGCAAACATTAAGGAGCAGACAAAGGTGGGTGGATGAGCTTGGGGGGGGGGTTACATCATGCCACATGCTTCATCTTTCCCTCCAGCTGTGTGTTGCAGTGAACACATATCCCATAATGCCATGCAGCCGATCACATTTCAGAGTGGGATGGAGTCTTTCCCGAGCTGGGTACTTTCCATGGGCCAGGGGTAATGGATCCTTTCTTACCACCGGCAGATTCATTGTATTGAGGGTCCAGTGCCTGAATGGTGGATTCCTTCTGCTCCACTGGCCCCTTCCTCCTGGCCTCCCTGCCCTCTCGATCCCCGTCTCTCTCTCTGTCCTTCTCCCTGTGCCCCCTACGACTCAGTGTGCTCTCTTCTTCCGCCCCTGCCTTTTCTCTTTGCTCTACCTCTTTTTCCTTTCTGCGTGGCTCGCCTGTGGGTCCGGCCCCTTCCCCCCAGTTTGAATCCCTCTCCTGCCTGCGTTTAGGCTCGTCCTCCTTGACTTTCTTCTCTCTGCTCTCCCCGACAGCATTACTGGGCTGTTGCCCCCCTGCCCTCCTCGGCTGCTCATCATGGGTTTTTGAGGGTTGCTTGGCAACACCCTCTTGCTCCTTCCTAGCCAATTTCTTAGGGCTGGGGGGGCGGGGCTCTCTCTGGGTACGTGACTTTCCTTCCAGGTTGGGCTCAGTGTCCCTTCGGCTGAGGGACACGGAGGGACTGACCTTGCTTTCATTGAGGGCAGATGGGGTTCTCTCAGTTTTCCGTGTGCTATGGGTTCGTTCCGGCTGCACTCCATCACTTTTCTTCGCGGGTCTGTCTTTTGAGGAGCCGTTGGAATCCATCTTCCTGTGGAAGGATTTTAGCTCTTGGATCTCCAGACTGGTGGTTGGCTTGGTCTTCTGGGGCTGCTGTCCTTGTGCCGTGCCAGACTGATCTCGGAAAGAGTCAGTGATGGGTCTGCTGTTGTCAAGGCCGAGAGCCCAGCTGGATCGCGATTCGGGGACCCCAGAACGGGAGGCGGCAGTGTCCAATCCGGGGGTCTCCCCTTCTCTGGATGTGATGGACATGGGGACACTGAAAGAGCCTTCAGTAGTGGAGAAGGAGTTTGAGAATGGGAAAGTGGAAGATGGTAGTTCATCTGAGGCTGATCTCCTCAGAAAGCCGCTGGATGCAACATTCATTTTATCCCTTGTACCTGCAGCAAAATAAAAGCAGAAAAGAACAGGTGTAACAGCATGATTCATGTGTTATTGTTTAGAAGATAAAGCCTACAGAAGTACCTGTGTATCAAGTGAAATTCTAATACTGAAAGCAATCACCCACTCTCTAATTATGCCATGTCCTTCGAATGGGAAATTCTTAATTTAGAAATATTTAAGCTGTTTCAGCATCTTGGCCGTGACACATCGCATTGAAGAGATTTAATGAGCAAAAATATTGGACTCTGTACAAAATAAATCTGTTTCATAAGCAGTGGGGAAAGCGGTTAACCCCGGTGCTTTTTTCATCCGGCGGCTTTCAGATGAGATTTAAATAATGTGCGGCGTGCAATAATGGTGGCGGATACTGCTGTGAAAGAGGCATTAGTGTAGCCCGTCCCCGGTGATGAAATACGAACGATCCCCCAGGCCTGAGAAATGTCAGGCATCCGGCCATGGCTGAGCAGAGACGCCACACAATGCTGGAGTGTGAAATTGAATGCGGGCTCCGGGTTCTCTCATTTTTCGGGATATCCGCCATGGAAATACACTTCCGACTTATTTCTGGAAGCAAAACGCATTTCTCAACCAGAGCACCGCTGTCTGAACCAATGCCTAATCAGTCAGCTCTGGCTGCTGTCAGCGTGGCTAACTGATGAAATCTCACATACCTACACTCAGAGGTCACTTTATTAGCTATACCTGTTTGTATTGCAAACAACCTGCTCCTCCAAACAGCAGATCATGTGACTGCAAGTGAATATATACAGCATGTAGAAATGATGTCACTGTGTGACTTACAATGTGTGATATCAGTTTTTAATTGTAGTGTGATTGTTAGTGCCACACTTGTTGGTGCCACACTTGACGGCCCCCATGTCGTAGAAACATCCACCCTTCCTGAACTAAAGTGTAAAAAGAGTTTACAAAGAGTGCTTTAATAAACATGCCCCCATCCAGTCAGGAGGCAGCTCTGTGGGTGAAAACGTCTTGTTAATGAGAGAGGTCAGAGGAGACTGCCAGACTCAAAGCTAACAAGGAGGCCAAAAATGCAAAAGCTCAGTATAGTAGTGGTGTGCAAAAGTGCTTTTGGAGAAACCTAACTTGTCAGCATCTGAAGTAGCTCTGGAGACAAACAAAGGTCTGAACTGGTACTACACGAGGAAATCCAATTAAGTGGCCACTGAGTGTATACATGCAGACATGTTAGCGAGGGGAGATCCGGTCTTTATAATCCCAGCCACCAACGAGAGCTTAAACCCAAACATTCATGGTAAGATAGATTCCACAAGTCGACGAAACGAATCTGACTAAATTGGACCTGCAATGCTTGATCCAGATTTATTACTTTTTGAGAAGTGAGAGCGTTTAAAAATGAGGAAAAGATTGCCGAGAAGAGCAACTGAAAACATGGCGAGTTAAGGGGTTTACTAAGGTGCAGTGCACCACAGCAGAAGAAGAGGAGGAGGAGGAAGACATTTACCAAGGTGATTAATAAGAACAGACCGAGAAAAGAAGGGAAGCTCTTTAGTGGTGTTCTGGTTTCATGTAGAAGGACAGGGTGGAAGAGTTCAGACCTGGGGGAGAAGGAGAGAGTGAAGGAAGCATGGAGAGAGAGCGGATGACAGACTCCCATTCCGATACTGCCTGGTATACGAGAACTAAAGAGAGACGTACATCTACAGACAGGAAGCCAGCCGAACACTGGCCAGCTGTGAGCCCCGTGTCACAGTTCTTTCTATGTGTGAAAATTCACACTGTGAGCGCCGTGTGGTTCTGTCAGCAGAAAGTCTGACCTAAACTTCCCACTACCAAATGACCTCCACTTAACTACTGCTGTACATTCCCCACATTGCATACTCATACTCCATGGTTGGAGAGTTCGGGACTCACTGTGGTCTGGAATGAGGCCCAGGCCGGGTCTCAGGAGCAGCTGTACTTTGTTCCCCCCGGCCTGGATGAGTTCGATGGCCCGCGTGTGGGTGATGCCCTGTGTAGGCTCCCCATTGATCTCCACTATCTGGTCCCCCACCTGCCAGAGCACGTAAAATTAGGACAACTTCAAGTGAAGCCGCAGAACCGCTCAGTGAATTGGAGAAGCGCGTCATAAGTCAGTCATCATGCATGTAAAGATACAAGATTCAAAGATTTTACTGCCATTGTGTTAGACTCAAGATTATACTGAATTCCAAAGCCGACAACACAAATATGAAGCAAATAAAATATAAATGATGTATACAATATACACACAAAATAAACTGTATATGAAAGTTAACATATTGAGGTAGTCAAACCATAAAAGAGATAACCCGTAAGGAGACAGACTATGTAACAACTAAGTACAGGAGTAACGAATAACCATTATAGCAGGTTATTACTCACATCTTCATTTGCACAATGAATAGTGATTTCTGCTCCATTATTGTACTGTTTATGTGAGATGTATCCCTCTTGGGTTTTACTGGTGTGAGACTAATATTTCAATATTAGTCTAAATACTAGAACTCGTGGCCATAAGTGGAAATTAGCGGGAGAACATTTTAAAACAAATTTGAGGAAGCACTTCTTTACACAGCGTGTAGTCAGAGTATGGAATAGTCTTCCTGCTAGTGTAGTGGAAGCTAAAACCCTGGGTTCCTTTAAATCAGAGCTAGATAAGATTTTAACAACTCTGAGCTATTAGCTAAGTTCTCCCCAAACGAGCTTGATGGGCCGAATGGCCTCCTCTCGTTTGTAAATTTCTTATGTTCTTATGTTCTTATGGGCCTTGGGAAGAAACTGCTTCTGAACTGGCTTGTGTGGGGAACAGTACCCTGTATTACCACAATACTTATAACTGACTACTCTCATACGTTATGGCGCTATGCGTCTTGAGGCTCACATGAATCCTGCCGTCCTTCAGCGCCGGGCCGTCCTCCGCCAGCCGTAGGATGAACAGGCCCATGTTGTACTCCTTCCCTCCGCGCAGACTGAAGCCAAACCCGCGCATTCCCCTCTCCAGCTCTACCTGACAGCAGCCCTGTACCGTACGGGGAGGCAAGGCAATGTGGGGAGACAGATGAGCTCTTTCTCTGAGGTCAGGTGGAAGGGTTTACCCCAAGAAGAGAGTCCAGGGGCTGGCGGCTTCTGCAACGGATGGTACGTCACCTGCTTGAGGCCTGCGGTGGTCGTGGTGCCCTGCTCGCTGAGAGGGAGCGTCTTGTACTCCGCGCGGGCAGCTCCATCCCTTTTCTCCTCGGTGTCCATGCCAAACCTAAACCGTGAGCAGCACGTGGACATAATCAGGATGATGCACCTCTTCAATCAGGATGATATGAAGAACAGACTTGACTCCTCTACAAGACTGAGGGCTCATTTTACGGATTTAGCTTCAGCAAAGCTCATCCCACTACAAGGAACGTTCAGACGGACTGCGATCCAGCTTACTGCTGATTTAGGGAGACTGGTAACCTGTGCCATGCTTTTGTGTGTATGGAATTTAAGGGGGGGGGGGGCTGACTTCTCAAGAAGAGCAGACAAAATGTTTGAAGTCCATTCTGACACCGGCCTCCAAGACGGGATAATGGGGGAGGGAATGGCTATTATTGCTGTAATGGATTAAAAAGCTGACATAGGTAATCTCGTTTAATGCCGAAGAGGAAAACTCACAATCTCACCACCCTCCATTAATCCTAACCTGCAGCCTTTCGACACTGCCCACCCCCCCCCGCCAACAGAGCGCCATGTGAGCAGCTCACAAAGCTTCTGACGATGCGATTATGCAGGCACTTGGCCAGCAGTGGCGTGGGGGTGCCACAGACTTGTCACATCACAGTCCGAGCCACCAGATTCCCTTCGGTACCTGTCGTCCTGACCGGTGGTCTGCTGTCCTGTGGCTCGATGCTGCAGCGCTGGGCTCTGCTTGGCTGAGCTGGTTCCCGAAGGGGGTCCACTGTGTTCTGGAATGGCAGAGAGTATTAGAAAACGTCTGAAAAAATAAGTGAACATCCAGCATGCTGATAAGCAGGAACACAGGCATTCAGGGGGGGTTGGGGGAACAGAGCCATTTTCAGTCTGTCCCAGGTCTAGCAGTTAATATAGTTCATTTTCCATACTCCAACTAATCTTTGTTATCAGAATATGTTTACATGCCCCCAGACCCTAATACCCAACCCAGCCTCCCATTGTGTCTTTTCCATGCCCTCTTGGTTTTTCAGCATCTCCTTCCCCCTGCTGATGTGGAAACAGCTGTCTTGAGGTTTTGTTCCTCCTTGGTATTCCATTAATTCCAAACATAGTCCCCGTTTCCTTCCTCCCAAACCCCCGTGTCACACTTCTCTGTTCACTGTCCTGCCTCGAGCAAGTATTACAGCAACTTTACCCTTCAAAATTATTTAGGCAAGAACGATTCAAAGTTTTGCTGCGAAACTTGGCATTTACAAAGCACGTCATTTAAATTAACGAATGTTATGGGAATCTCCTGCTGATTCTGAAATAAGACAACCCTCTGACATGCTCCTTACAATCATGTATTAATTCTCCAAAAATACACCTAGAAGCATTTCCTAACCCTAACCCCAACGCCCCCCCCATGACCTGTCTGCCCACCCATCCTTTGAAAGCAGACTTGTTGTAACCTCTGCTGCGACTTACCATCTTCTGGCACCACAGTGAGTGTGACGGTATTGCCAGCATCCTTGATGAGCTGCACGATGTCGTTATGTGCCAGCTCCACGATGGACTGACCGTTGACCGCAGAGATCCGGTCGCCCACCTTAAGCTGGCCGCAGCGGTCGGTGGGGCTCCCCTGGATGATTCGGCCGATCTTGTGAGGTATCACTGCGCGGGAAAGGAGACAAGGGGGGGAGGATGAAAACTGTTCTGCCGCCAGCCGGCTGTGTACCACCCATGATGTGGATGAAGCCTTTCTGAAAATAGTCATTGAAATTCCAGTTCCATGGCTTTACACTCTACTTCTACATAATATATCAGCATTATTTTCAAGGTCCACGCTGGGAGCATCTTTGTTGCATTTGAGAGTTAACCACCTCCTTGAATCAGTGAAGACTTGGTCATTGTGTGTCTGTGGTCTACTGGACTGTAAGCATGCCACTTGTCCTACAATGTGTATAGTGCCTGACTGGCTAGCTTCCGCGCCGGAGAAGGTGCTGACTCATCTATGAACCCAGGCCAAAGAGATCTGCAGTAGCCTTGTTGCTACCAAGAGCCTTGGCATGCTACGAGCAGGGCACACAGCCAAGACTGTGCGACTGGGATCAGAAGAGGCATTTAACACAGTGAGGCACAGCTAATCCTACACAGAGCAGAACAGTTACAGGGTTGGGGGGGGGGGGGGGCGTCACTAGAAGCAGGTGCCCTCCCACCTCCTGGTGGTGGCTTGTTCTTCGAGGTAAGGATGACAAAGCCGAAGCCTTCGTTGTCCTTCCGCTGCAGCGTGATGTCGTAGGACTCATGGGACCCGGGGCTGGGAATGTCGACGCGGGCCAGCTTGGGAGACCCCTCCACCAGCGTGGGGATCGGCTGCTGGCTACTGCCCTCCTTCCCTCCTGGGCCGTCTGCCAGAGATCAGCAGAGATGGAATAAACCATTTTCAAGATGTGCTGCTAACACACATCACATTAAAAATAACCAATTCCAGAATTGTTTTGAAACATTGATATTTTTTGTTCCCATCTATTGGTAAAAGAGACTCAATGCTTTGAGTCTTCAGCAGATATAGAAAATACTGAAATCAAGAGGACTAATGTGGGATTTATTTCAGGTGGTTTCTTTTTTATTTATTTATGCTTTAGCTCAGTGCTAAATTTAGCCAACATCATCCAGCGCTGATCCACTTCTGTAACACTTGGAGTATTACTCTACCCTGAAGCTGGGTTTGAACTGCAAAGGTGACTCGTTAATGAAACCGCTGCTTTCCCACTGCAGATATAAAACAATGTTCCCACAGCGGGGACAAAAAATGGCCCTGGCAATGATGTTAAAACTGCTGTGTCCCACCTAACATAATTTAGGAAGCAGTATATGCATTTTTCTTTATTTTTCTTGCATGCACCACAAACATTTGCTATACTGAGCATTATTAACTGGATTCAGTTTTCTGAGATGCTGTCAGTGGATGTGCAGAGGTGGAACCTAAGAATTTTTGCTGCTAGTAAACTTGGCTAGTTCAGTAAAAAATGTAGTCCAGCATGCATTTTATTTTTTTTAACAAGCAATCTAGTGTTCAGTTTTTTGTATTCGAAATGACTAATTTCAGGCAAGTGGGCAAGTTTAATTTCCAGCCTTTTGGTGTGTGGTAAAAATTCAGAAGTAACATTTGTGGCCCATACTTAGATTCTAGAGCCACCCTCTGAGGTCCCTACACAGAATCCAAAGGCATCCATTGAGATCCCTACACAGAATCCAAAGGCCTTATACGAACTCAGTAACTTTAGCCCCACCCACTTTCCCACATGTGCATAAGTCTTTGAACCTATCTACTCACCTGTATAGACCACCTTTCGGCGGACGGTCAACATGACTTGTCCGTTGCGTGCGGCGTTGGTCATAAGCTCCAGCACCTGCTTGTGGGACTTGCCCTTCACTGGCACACCATCAATGCACAGGAGCTCGTCGCCCGCCCTCAGGCGGCCGTCCTTCTCCGCAGCGCCCAGGGGCACGATGGCACCGATGTACACCTGCAGGAACAAGGCGCAAGGTTCAAGAAATAGCCAATCACAGCTTAGCACAGAGTGCAGCTGCTCCTCTAGCTGCTACTGGAATTCAGACAACTAACTAACATATATGAACTATAAAGTATCCCGCAAAAGTTCCGGCAACTAACAACTCAACTGGAGAATTATGATGCTGTTGCATGAATCAATAATTCATACAATAATTTAATGGGCTGTAAGGTCTACATTCATCAGAACCAGAGGACACTTACAGGTTGATCAGGACCTTCCCCACCCAGAACTCGAAACCCGAAGCCCGATTCTTGGTTCCTCTTGATGAAAACGTCCAGGTCCCTAGTGTTGGGAGCTTAGGCAGAGATATTTGGAAAGTCAGTCAAATGAAAAGGCGACAGCTCTTCTAAAAGCTTAAATATCTAATAATCATTTAATAACAGCCTGAAGTAATGAACGTTATCAGCAGCTATTAAGGGAAGTGAAACCCATAGTCTTCCCAGTGGCCCTTATGTTTCGTTAATCTCTTGGACGGATCGGTTTTTCCCAAATGAGGTTTATTTTACTCACGTTTGCTCTCCAGTATGGCCTTGGACTTCAGGTAGACCTCAGAGGGGTCCAGCTTGGGCGAGTTGGAGCGCAGGATGTTAGGGGGGAAGGGCAGGGGTTGGGGGGTGGCGTCTGTAGGTGCTAGTGTCTCTGTGCTGGTGGTCACATCTGTTTTCGGTGCAGCGGGGACAGTCCCCTGCAACAAGCCAAAAATAACAGCCAAAGTGGAGAGAGTAAAGTCAATAAATCAATTAAGGTAAGCAGATTTTTTTCTGGATGTAGCACTCTAAGGCGTAGGCCAGTGTAAGCAGGAGCTGGTTTAATGAGTCCGGTCACAATGTCTGGAGGGTTGTTGACTCAACAACCTCAAGCCATCACCCCATTCCAAATTCACCACACTTCCCATTTCAGGGGGTCATGACAGTTCGCAGGGAACTGCTGACTTAAGAGAGTGCAGGACGAAGGTTATCTGACGTGCTGGGGATGGGAAGCGGCAAAGTAAGTATGGGCCAGGACCTGATAAACCAGCTTCCCTTCAAGCAGAACGGCAACATCTAACATCCATGCCTGAATAATGCAGGTCACTAACACGCCTGCATTTCTGGGAATGAGGACGATTTACATCTTTAGCCTTCAATTATTAACCTCATGTCTCGTCTTGAAAGCTTTCAAACGACCCCCCCCCCCCCCCCCCACGAGACATTCCTATTGTTCGACTGAAAACATGATATAATTAAAACTTTTTTTTTTTTTTTCACTTACAGGTTTGAGAGACTTCACAGGAGACGTTTGACCTACGGGCAGGTGAAGAATGGGGGGGGGGGGGGGGAGAACAGTCAGGAAGGGCAATTTACCAAAACAGCACTGAAGTAATTTGAATACACTGCTCCTTGTCCCAGGTTGTGCACACGAACACTAGCATACTGTGAAATGCTTAGTCAAGGACAGAGCAAGTCAACAACCAGTAGGTTCAAATCGATTTTCTCTATGCTTACTCTACAGTACATGCTCTAAATGCTGGACAGCATGGTCTCTAAGTCACGTTCAAAGTGCCTGAGCCTCTGTTGAGGGACTGACCACTAGGTGGCACTACATGCCAAACAGACTATGGGAAATGTGTTCGGCAGGATTACACAATCAGCGCGGCATATGCCGTGCCACTGCAGAGTAACATGATTTGCAGAAAGCCAGTAAACCGATACACTTTTATGAGGAGGTTTGTGTTCGTGCACCTGACTGGAATGAAGAGAATGCATGAGGGGCTTAATGGCATCTAGCATTTGAGTTGTGTCTGAGTTGTGTTTCACCTGGCAGAGTCCTGATGTACACACTTACAGGAGATCTCTCCCTTAGAGAAGAGTATCTGTGCCGTTTGCGAGGGCAGATTACAAAATAAAAAAAGCCACCTTTGCCACACAGTGGGGAACCCCTAAGGTCACCGACCCATTCTGCAGAAAGCTCCAGGAATAAGCTCTGTCCTCATGGAGCAAATGACATGACTAAAAAGTAGCCACACTTACCGATCCATCACTCTAAAAGAGAGGTAAGGCATGTGTGCAGGAGAAGAAATCCAGATTATGTACAAACAATTAACAATGATACTGAGCACATGGTGCATCAGCTGAGTGAATGTGAAGATGGGACCCGCCCACTCGCTGTTCTCATATAGGCTACACTGTATTCCCAGAAATCGAAGGCAAGATGAACTTTCACCTCTAATTCCTAGCTGGAAAATGCACGGGCACGCAGCGGTGCTCAAGGACATTATATACCGTTCCCTATAAGACTCACTAGAGACTGTGGTAAACAATGACTGGGAGAGTTCGAGGGAATTCTGAAACATCTGAGGGAGGCATCTGTACAGCCTGTGACAAAGGGACAACACCACTAACACTGGAAATGGGCAGTAGAGGGAGTGATTCCTGGAATTTGGAAATCCCAGCTGGCCTCTCTCACAACGTGGCAAGTATGAGAATGAACCACGTGGCAAGCAAACATTGAAAAGTAACGCCTTCACAGAGGCAGGGCCCATAGTCTGAGGAGACCTTTCTGGTGCTGTTCTCCAAGGGCAGAACATTCCAGGCAGCACGAAGGCCCAGATATTCCCTGCTGTCTCCACCTTAAGTCATTCATAGAAGAGCAGCCCATAGACGACATGGAGAACTCACTAGAAGTAGGTGATAAGAGTTGACATTGTGTACAGTGCAGTGTGGAATGATCCCATTTGGTTTGTTGACCCCATTGCGTTTAACACAGGGAGCAGGACAGCTGTCCTCCCTAAAAATATCAGCCAGCATTTATCACTTTGCAGACATCCCCCAAGCTAATTGATTTACCAGGAGTTTGACAGTGTCCACCCCCAGAAACACTGTTCTAAAGGTACTGCCTGAAAAGTCTCCCATCCCCATATTAATCCTGTGTCCCCATAAGCTCTAGCACCTCATACTGCCCCTCCCCCACCTCTCAGCCAACCCACTACAGGTTTGTGTTTCCATTGGCGGTGCAACAGACTCGTTCTCACCTCCTCGCAGCACCAGCACGTTGACCTCGCTGCCCACCGGCAGGTCCTTCAGGATGTCCACCACCTGGGCGTGGCTCAGCGTCTGCACGTTCTGCCGGTTGATCTCCTTGATGACGTCGCCCTTCAGCAGGCCGCGGCACCACTGCGCATCCAGGATCATCTTTACCTTCTGACCCAGGGGGCAGTCGGCGATGGCGAAGCCGAATCCGCCAGGGCCCTTCACCAGGGGCACGCTCACCAGCTCGGGTTGCAGCAGAGTCGGGTCGGTCACCTCTGGCTGCCGGCCACCCCCCCCCTGGCCCCCCGGGCCCGTCGTCACGTAGGGCACGTCCGGGGAGCCATTCTCGTGGGACATGCCCGCCACCTCACTCCCAGCCTCCTCGCTGCCGTTGGTGTCCTCGGGCAGCGGGTATCCCCGGCACAGAACCATGTCCACATACTGGTTCACCGGGACGGACTGGAACATCTGCACCACCTCTGCGTGGGTCTTACCCAGGACGCACGTCCCATTAATGTCCGCAATCACGTCGCCTGGGGGAGAAGGACGCCCGTGAAGGCCAGCAAAGATCAACATGGCTGCCGCCTAGTACAAACTGCACAACCAGCCTGTGTACAGAGGGGATTGTTATATCTAATGAGGGCAGTGTCTGGCTCAGGGGGCGGGGATGCCTGTGATCGGAAGGTCGCTGTTTCAAGGCCCATAAACCACAGTTGCTCCAGGGTCTCAAAAATATATTTTGCTTTGGATAAAAGCTAAAAAAAAATGTAACATAAATGTAATCTAATTCACGTTTGTTTCTATTATTCAGTTAAGAGAGATGCAAATTTACACTTATTAATATTTAGGCAGCAGGATATACAGGTTTAGGTTCCGTCCTTCCTCAGCTGTACAAATGCACCTTTCTGTCTGGTTGCAGTGCTGTCCTTACAGATGCGATACAGCAGCCGACGGGTCCCTCGGTCACTGTGACGCGCGATGCCACTCCTGCCGTCCGCAGTCGGACTGCGCCGGGCACGGCGGTCGAGGGATTCAATTACAGAGTAACAGAGTGGCGGCTTTACAGGCTCCCTCAGAGGAATGGGACTGCGAGGCTCTAATCAGATGCCAGCGCTTTGGACAGGATCAGATGGAGGCCGCTGCCAGCTCAGCAAATGAGTGATGAGCGCTAATGAGGGCGAAGGAGTGCAATGGAATATGGGAAGAGTGCTCTCATCCATTTCCTCCCATGACTTCCCCACTTTGCCTGCAGATCAGCAGAATCCACAACAAGGATTCTGTCCTGGGTGGTGAGAGGCTCAGTGCGCCGAGTCTCTTTGCCTGTGATCAGATGATCCGGTTCGAGCCCCGGTCTTGGCAGAACAGTAACATGCCCATGGGCCCTCGAACAAGGTCCTAACCCCCCAGCTCCAGGGGCCCTGCATGTTAGCTGACCCCGTGCTGTGACCCCCCCAAGCTATGGAGAGCAAGATGGGGTCTGCACAAAAGAAGCATTCCGAAGAACTTGTGCAAATGGCAAATAAATCATGTTTTTTGTTAAAATGGTCATAATAAGGAAAATGGCTTTAGTGTTAGCCTCACGTTGGAATTTCGGAAGCGAGCTGCGTGACCTGCCGTAGTGCGTGGGGGGGGGGGGGGGTGGGGGGGGGGGGGGGGGGGGGGGGGGG